GGAGGGAGATGCGCTGCAGTGGTGGGAATGGATGGGGAGATCCTATGCAGAGGCGGAGACCCCGATTATGTGGCCCCATTCCAGGAGGAGTTGCGTTATCAGTTCTGGAGATCGGAGGGGTGGGCTCCCGAGCAATTGGCAAAGCTGAGACAGACCGGGACGGTTGTCGACTACCGAGCAGAGTTTCTCAAGCTGGGAAACATGTGCAAGGGGGTGCCAGAAGAAACCTTGGTTGGCATGTGTATGGTCGTGTTGTGCCCGGAGATCGCATTGGTAGTGAAGGTATTCGAGCCGGACTCCTTGAGGATGGCCTTTCGCATAGCAGAGCGTAAGGAGGAAGGAATTGCTAGTTGGCGGAGTGTAGTAGGGCGCTTCCAAAAGGCTAGTGAAGGGGCTAGTGGAAGCGCGTCGGGTGGAGTTGGTGGAGGAGCCGGGCCGGTGGCCTGGGTAGGAGCTATGGCGACACCCGTGACGACATCGGGAGCTACTCGACCGGGACCTCGGATGATCACGAAAGGGTTCGTCAGGTTATCTCCTGCAGAAATTGATCAGAAGAGGCGGGAAGGAAAGTGTTTCAATTGCTATGAGAGATTCACCATTGGTCATCAGTGCGCTAAACCAGAGTTGACGATGCTGGTGGGACGCTAGGAAGATGAGGCCGAGGAGTGGACAGTATGGGAGCGAGAAGAGCATAAAGAGGAGTCGGGGTAATCTTGAGGACAAGGTCGTTTTGAAGTGGGGAGGGATGATAGAAACATAACTAGTATTGTTTTGTTAATCGGGATTATTTGTCTTTTACTTATATTTTGGATAGTTGAGGGATTATTTGGGGAATTTTAGGCATTATTGGCCTATTCGGGTTAGGAGTATTCTTTAGGTAGCTAAGGGTAATTATTCGGGTTTATATTCTGTAAACCGGGGAGTAATTTCATGGAGGATATTATTATCAAAAACCTAAACCTAACCTACTGTCTTCTCTCTACCTCTCACACGTCCGAACTCCCTCTTCGTCTCAAGAGTTGTGTCTCTTTTCTGCTCCCCTCCTACTTCTGTTTCTTTTCCAATTCCCAAATTCCATTCCCTAATTCTGGTTCTTGCTATATTTCTAAACCCTAGATATTCACGATTTTATCACCAACTTCATTGAATCGTCCTCTAGCTCAACGTCGACTTCCTAAGAACTCGAATTCTGCTGCACCGAAGAACTCGAACTCAAACTCGATCTTTGCTCCACCATGGTTTGAACTTTGAAGCAAGCCTCCCATCTGCACCATCTGTACTGCAAGCGGTTTCATGGCTTCTTGTTCTGCTTCATACTCTTGTTGTCATCGCTGCAAAGTCTTCCAATCATCAGCAGGTTCATCCGGGGATAAAGGTTTCAAAACGAAAACCTTCTTCTGATGTTTCAATCAGAAGCTTTTGGATCTTCTGCTAACCAGATGAACTCCACGATCTTGGAACCAGGTTTGTCCCATCACAATTTGATTGGCAAGCTTGTACACTAGGTCGCACAATACCTCGTCTTCATATTTGCCAATTGCGAATTTCACATAAACCTGTGCAACCACGAGACTTGAAATCTTCTCGTCATGAAACTCTATAATGTACAGTGCTGGATGTAGACACATTGACAGCCCCAATTTCGTCGTTGTTCTTCAGCTGATCAAATTTGATTGATCCCTACAACTACAAGCATAAAACACACATTCTCTTGAACCAAATAACGAGTATATAACATATTACCTTGCTCTAACTCTTTCGCCATTGCTTGAGTTTGAAGGAAAAACTCAGTGAACTTTTTCTCTTTGCCACTGATTTTGAACAAGGAATCATCAAATCGCAGATGAATTTGAACCGGGCTCTGATACCAGTTGATAAGATCCCGAGCTCCTAAAAGCCTAGGTTCTTTTGATCAAAGTCGCGCCGCAGTCACATTCTTTCTAGGGTTTTCTGAATTTTCCCCTCAACAACACAAAAAGAGTAAAAAGGATAAGGCGGATTGAAGTGCAATCACACACTTGGAAGAAGGCTCTATCAATATAAGGGTAGAGTCTCGGCCACAATTAAGGTGAATACTTGATTGATACGAAACAAACACTCTGAAAATTGGAGTCCACCAATTCACTAGAGCAAATTCAAGAGTAAAAACTCAATGAACCAAAAAGGGTTTTCTATTCAACATAATCTCTCTAACCCTAAAATTCATGTCTTAAGCCCTTTCATAAAGTAGGGCAAATAAAATAATCAAAAACCCAAAAAGATAAAATAAAATCCTAAACCAAAAAGGAGGCTTAAACTCATCCAGGCCCAATACCAGTGTTATTAAAGCCGAGCCGCTCGGCCCGACCGGTAATACCGCCTCCCGATCACAAAACCGGCTCGACAGAGTCTAAAAGCCGCTCCGGTTTTATATAGCAGTTGGCGAGCAGCCGAGGTGGTTAACCGTTCGAGCCGATCGAGCCGCTCATCCGGTTTTTGCCATTCAGCCACTAAATTTAATTAAAAAAATTACAAAAAATTGAAAATTGAAATAAACAAAAAAACATCGAGCTCTCAAACTGAATCCTTATTTCCATTTCACAATTTTGAAGGAAAGAGATGAACTATGATTAAGAAATGTCTACTTTTATACTGATAACGTTTATTAGGTATTGGTTCTCTAACAGTTTTTAAACAATCTAATGCCGATAGGACCACTAAAGTGCAAGCCTTTCGTATTACCAGATCATGCTTCGATTCGGTTCTAACAACATTGCCCAATACCCAATTTCAAATGGGGTGTGCTATTTGTAGCCCTAAATAAAGCTTATTTATAGCCCTAAAAAACTAAATTCACTAAAATACCCCTGGCAAAAAATAACTCTCTTTTTTCAAAATACACTCTCCAAACAATCATTGCCGGCAACCCTCGTTGGTCGACCAATGTCGCCGGAAGCCATATCTGCCGATCATCATCACCGCGTCACCACCGCCTTTCTCGCCGATCATCATATGATAATTACTCGTTCTCATAGAATAAATTTTGTATATTCAAATGATTGAATGTTCGTATATTTCTCATTATAATAATATTTGTATATAATTTCAATTATAATAAATTTCCCGTTCACAATATAATGTTCGGATTATAATGAATTTCACAATAAATTCTAACTTAATTTCCTTGCTAAATAAATTTATCAATTACAATTTAAGATTCGTACTACAATTAATACTTTCCATGAAATAAATTTCTATATTTAAATCATTAAGTTTTCGTATATTTATTAATCAATACAACCTAATATTCATAATCTAAATCCAAATTGAAATAAATTTTATAAATCATAACAACAATTAACTCCGATGTAAAACTAATTAATAATAATAAATTCTTTCATTGAATAAATTTTGCTACATAAATATTTGTAATATAAAATAAATTTAATAATAATAATTTAAATTAAAAAAAATAAAAAACGGACGAACGTCCGGCCAGGACGTTTGTCCATCGCCGGCGACGTCTGGCCAGGATGTTTGTCCATCGCCGGCGACGTCTAGACAGGACGTCACCGTCGCCGGCGGTTGGTCAAACTGCCGTTGACCTCGCCGGCGCCGGCGGTTGGTCGGCCAGCCATACAGCAGTTTGAATAACCGCCGGCGACGGTGACGTCCTGTCCAGACGTCGCCGGCGATGGACAAACGTCCTGGCCAGACGTCGCGCGGTCGTCGGCGACGCCGGGACTGGACGTTTGTCCATCGTCGGTGACGTCTGGACAGGACGTTGTCGGTGGTCCTTCGTACAAAAATAATATATAACTTCGGCGACGAGTCTTCTTCTTCGGCGAGGCGCTCTGATGTCTTCTCCGTCGACACAACTCTTCTCTTTTCCGGCGACACTCTTCTCCCAAACCTCCGGCGACACTGCTCTCCGTCGTCTTCCGATGAAAAGTCATCCTCTCCGGCGAGATGTCTTCGTCTCCGGCGTGAAATCTCCGGCGACAGTGCTCTCCGGCATCTCACGGCGAAAGTCGTCCTCTCCGGCGAGCTGTCGTCGTCGTCGGCGACGTTATTTGGGACGAAACCGATGACTATTGGATGTTGGGAGGGAAGGGGATGTTTGGTTGGATTATTACACAAAATTTGAATTTGAAAAAAGGAGAAGGGTAAAATAGTAATTAATTTATTTTAGGGCTATAAATAAGAAAAAATTAGGACTACAAATAGCAATTCAGATTTCAAATCCCCGGTCGGGAATTTAACCCACCTAACCGGGGCCCTTCTTCCCACATTCCCCGATCTCCCTCTTGACTCCCCGGTCGGAGAATTGAACAATTCCGCCCGGGGCTATTCTGCTTTGGGGAATTACATCAATTTTCCTCCAAAACTAGACTAATGAAAATGCATTCGCAAAACCAATGCTTTACACTCTGTTTGGGAAGAGGGGTAAATGGGAGGAGGGTGCAAATGTGAGGGGTAAATACAGTTTCCAACACATTTGCACCTGTTTGGTTAATTTGGAACAGTAGGGGGGTGCAAAACGGGAGTGCAAATTTACTGTTTCGGCTTACCCCCCAAATTGGGGTGCAAGGGAAGGAAGGAAGAGAGGGGGAGGGGGGAATTATGGAATTTTGTTTTTCTAATTGTGTTATATATAATTATATAATAATTAATATTATCAATTTCTTCTTTTTATAAATATTATTAATGTAAACATTATTCGGGGTTGACCATTTGACTCTGGAAACAAGTTTATCAATGTTCGTCAAGTCAAATCTAGATCTCTTGGTTGAATCGAATTTGCATTGAAAATTAGAGATACGAGGTGTTTGTGGAAAAGATAGAGAGAAATTGTTTGGTTAACTCAGTTTATTTGACTAAATGGTTAAAACTTACAAATTCGAACGTGTTTGACTAAGTTTGACAATTTAAGATTAAACTAGACACGAAAATCCTATATAGGATGACCAGTTACAAGTTGAGCTTCGAGTTTTGAGAACGCTCTATCAATGATTATGTGGGCTGGCGCGAGTGTGTACTGGGCAGCAATAGTAATTAAACCAATATGGAGCAAACATTCATGTTTGACCAGGGGACGTGTGGAAGGAAGGAGACAGAGGGTTAGATCTTGTATCTCCGCAACACATGGCAGGCATGTCATCCCGGGATGTTAGAGGAACTTTGGGGTTGGGGGATCATCATCGTGCTGTGGTAGGACCGATTAAACTCCCCATGTTGCTGGTAGTAAGGTAAACCTAACCTTCCTTACTCGCAACCAAGCTCTCCAGATGGATCATCCACTCCTTCCTTCCAACGAAAAAGACTTTGAAACCCCACGAGCTGTCCCGCCCGATTCCCAAATGCTTTCTCCTTTCCCTTTCCTTTCAGCAATCCACCTTTTTAGGTATATAAATCATGTCAAATAGCAAAATTAAAACAAATGTTAATAAGGGGAAGAATTCAAAATATAGCAAAATTGAAACGAACATAATGTCCATGAAATAATAGGTCTATTCGGTAATATAACATATAGACAAATTTGATACATATCCAAATATCGGTACCAAAATTCCAGCACTAGGGTTAGGTAAACTAAGCTCTCCATCTAGCTTATCTTCTTTACTCATTCCCCGTAGTGCTTTTTGGAATTTGACTAATTTTGCCCTTACTCCTCTGGTTATTCTCGGATAAGAAGGAATTTCTATTGATTACCATTCGAAAGGAAAAGCAAATACAGAGTGGCACCACGATTACCTCATGATTAATACCCAATCCACAGGCCACATTTTGATGCGCAGCGTAGGTGCAGTTCCACTTGACCTGGCTGGCCCCACCCCCATACCCCTTTCTTCCCTATGTCTGTGTGAATTGTCTTGGTATTTTGATGCATCTCCGGCGCGACCCCAAAATCTTGGACAAGTGGCTGAATTCTTCCTTCCACCCACCTTTATACCCAGAAAGAATCTCGTGGGGAGGGATTGCGGGATACCCTTTTGTCCTCTACAGGGTCCCCATTTCACTTATTAGTTATTGCCCTCCCCGTAGATTGACGGAGAGGAGAGGACTCCCAATCTCCTCACCTCCCATCTGCCTGCCTAGGAAGTTCGCCCATCTGCATAGTTTTCCGGAAGGTTGCATGAGCATCCATGTCAAAATAACGATGGTGATTAAACTATAATGCAAAGTAAATGTAGCTTAGATCAAAGGCATGAATACAACAGAGGAGTTCAGTCAAGGTTGAAACTTGAAACATGCCAATCATTAAGCTGTGGGTCAATTTTTGAACAACAGGTCGGTGCATTAAAAAGAACCAACCGGTGCAGAAATAATGAATCATACTTATAAGCTGTCACACAAGTAAGACAGATAAAGATTTGACCACGAGAGTCAGGTTTGGAGAGAGATGGAAGGTTCATACAGTATCGCTGGGGGTTGAGTTTTTGTATCCACAACAAACAACGTTAGCATGTGTATTGAGGAAGAGAAGAGAAGAGAAGAGACTCACGGAGGAGAGCGCAGGGGCATAGATTCACAATCTACCTGTTGGAAGGAACTTTGATTTCAAGGGGGGCCAAACCTCTAAAGACAACAACCCATTGGGCCACGTGGCAGCCATGACACTTCAGCACCTTCCTCCTCCTCTAGGCTTCCCGCCCCCGGTCTTCTGTTGGTCCGGTTCTGGATCCTGAAATCTGTCCTTCCTAAACCCACACCTCCACATGACATGAGTTAGATGATGGACCTTCCACCACCACCACCCAATTCAGAAAGAGAAGCACCATTTCTATTGCCAATTACCATCTTCTTCCCTCCTTGATGCAGTCACCAGCTTAGCTTTCTTGTTTAAACACGAGGAAAAGTGCTCCTTTAACTCCCGTTCCTGCTTTCATTCCAGCCGCTAGCAGAGACCACTTCGTTCCACAACCTTCCTGCAGAATCCTTTCAAACAAGTTAGGGTACTGAGAGAGAAGAAAAGGAAGAGTGCACAAAGGAAAATGGAAAAGCTGAGTACTTTTACCCTTTTCAACACCCACCACTCACAAGCTTCATACTCTGTACCCCTTTCTATATAAATACATATAATGCATACCACACGGATATCCTAGGGACTCACCACCCAACATAGCATTTAACAGCACCCTTCGTTTCAAATTCAAAGCACCCAACATGATGTCATTTTCTTGCGCCAGAAACTTCCTACAACGGTTCTGTACTGAAGATGTTCACTCACGACGCATCCCGAATCATGGCAGCTGCTTTTCCAATGATCTCTTACCATCACTTGGAGCCAGAATAAACCAGACAACTAAACTCAGAAGACACATCATTTCACCATATGATCCTCGATATAGGTGATTCTTTCATTTCCTTATCAAAATTCACTTGAGTCGCTCTTTTTTGTTTATTGTGACTGGAAGTCTCAATCATGTTGTACTCACGTTCGTATTCACAGGGCTTGGCAGATGTGGCTCGTTGTTCTGGTCATTTACTCTGCATGGATATCTCCACTCCAGTTTGCATTTCTAACTTACAAGAAAGACGTCCTTTTTCTAGTCGACAACATTGTCAATGGTTTTTTCGCCATTGACTTGGTTCTCACCTTCTTTGTTGCCTATCTCGATAGCCAATCTTGCCTCCTCGTCGACAATCCTAAGAAAATAGCAATAAGGTGGGTAAAGCTTTTTGCAATATTTGACCCTACATTGCCTTTTATCTTTCTACTACCCGAAGAAGATCTTTCTAACCCAAATCCACAGGTACATATCTACCTGGTTTGTCTTCGATGTCTCTTCCACTGCACCATTTCAGCCCTTGAGCCTCCTGTTCAGAGAACAAAGCAGTGAACTTGGGTTCAAATTACTCAACATGCTCCGTCTATGGCGTCTCAGGAGAGTCAGCTCCCTGTTTGCAAGGTCAATCACTGTTACCTACAAACCCTGTGGCTTGCGTTTCTTTTTCTTCACAAAAATGGAACTTAGTAACGCAATAATAAAGATGATCAACGTCACCGCTTAATTTCCTTTCAGGCTTGAGAAAGACATCAGATTCAACTACTTCTGGACTCGTTGCACGAAGCTTGTTTCTGTAAGTCATTTATAAACTAAAATCCAAAGTTTTAAATACATGCCACTTCCGTAGATGACCTCGACCATCCAATTTCTCATTGGTGCATTTCAGGTAACATTATTTGCGGTGCACTGTGCTGGATGTTTCAACTATCTCATTGCAGACAGATACCCTGACCCCACAAGAACCTGGATTGGTGCAGTAAACCCTAATTTCAAAGAAGACTCTCTGTGGAACAGATATGTCACTTCAATGTATTGGTCTATCACTACAATAACTACAACAGGATATGGAGACTTGCACGCCGAGAATCCAAGAGAGATGCTTTTTGATATATTCTACATGTTATTCAACTTGGGGCTGACATCTTACCTAATCGGGAACATGACAAACCTAGTCGTGCATTGGACCAGCCGGACACGAAATTTCGTACATACTCTTTCTTTCCCTTGGAGAGCATTATGCTCCTCTGACTTAATTTTCATCCCATCAGAGAATGAAAAATTCAATAGAGTTCATAAAATGTTTCACAAGTAAATGCTAGAAGTCTACGCTATCATATAATAATCCCATGTGAAATTTCTCGTAAGTCATTTGAGCAATTTTAGGCTTGAGTTTTTTTTATCAGTTAACATGATTTCCTTCAATGATAAGCTGATTTCATTATATGAATACTAAGCATAGAAACTTGCCTTTAATTTATGCAGAGGGACATGTTCAGAGCTGCTTCAGAATTTGCCACTAGGAATCAGCTGCCACCCCGCATACAGGACCAAATGCTTTCACACATATCTCTGAAATTCAAAACAGAAGGATTGAAGCAACAAGAAACTGTGAATGGCCTTCCGAAGGCTATTCGTTCAAGCATTGCACATTATCTCTTCTATCCCATTGTTGAAAACACCTATCTGTTCCAAGGGGTGTCACATGACTTCCTTTTCCAGCTGGTATAATTTTCTAAATACTACTTGTTTTTATTTGTTTATTAGTTCTACCGAAATGAAGAGAAATATTTAAGCACGTAACTTTCTTGTAAAGGTCTCAGAAATGGAAGCTGAATATTTTTCACCAAGGGCAGATGTCATACTGCAGAACGAATCTCCATCAGACCTATATGTACTGGTGTCAGGATCAGTGGTAAGCCCTAGTTTCAAGCCATTTTTAGTAGTCTAAACAAATAACTATCAACACATAGGATATTATAATTAGAGTCAATTCCACCTTGCAGAATTTCTTATCCTCGGTTGATGGACATGATCGAGTAAGCACACAGTTCCTTTTATATTAAATTTCGATTGGAGAGCTTGACAAATCAAACCTTGATTGATCTGCTCCCATGACACTTTAGGTTGTTGGCAAAGCTACTGCAGTAGACCTGTTTGGGCAGATGGGAGTTATATATAACAAGCCTCAACCTTTCACCGTTAGGACTACCGAGCTTTCTCAAATATTGCGGCTCAGCAGAACTTCTCTAATGAACACCATACAGACAAATGGGGAAGACGGGCATCAAATAATGCATAATCTTTTCATGGTGAGAGAGTAAATTGTAGCATGAACAGTATTATATCTACTTATCTATTTCCTTCACGACACCAGAAGACTAACTGCTGGTATTTTTGCAATGTAAGTAGAAACTGCAAGGGCAAGAGAGCATACCCTCTGAATCCGACGGAGGAATGATCCCTAAATGTTGTGCAATAACAGGAAGTCAAGGCTACCATTATAGTAGAGGTTATGCAGATGTTGTGAATGGCCAAACAACTCTGCATGCTGCAGTATCCAAGGGGCATGTAGAAATGGTAAAGATTCTGCTTGAAGGAGGGGCATACACAAACAAGCCAGATGATAGAGGGTGGACACCCAAGGCAATTGCAACAGAAAGAGGACACAAAGGCATATACGACCTCTTAGTAAGCTACGAAAACAAAATGGCATTAAACACCCAGGTGACAGATTTCATTGAGCCGGAAACTGTAGTTGGCACCAAAGGTTGTCAGGGAAAGAAATTAGAGAACAGTTGGCACCATCCTACAAGGCTCAACTCAGCAAAGGCAACTACAAAAGCCACTTCTTCAAGTTATTTTGATGACAGGGAAGCAAAAAGCGTAAACAAGAAGAGAGTGGCCATCCATATGAAATATCAAGATGAAAGAACATCAAGCCAATGGGGGAAACTGATCATCCTACCTGATTCCATGGAAGAGCTGCACAGGATTGCTGGTAAGATCTCTTTAGTCTCGGCAGAGAGTTTGAGCTTAAACCTGGATATTGTCTGCAAACATCATGAACTAGTTGAGTTTGATATGTACAAACAAAATAATGAACATATAGAAGAGAAAAAACCAGCAGAAATCTTATTACTCAGTTAAATTGCATTTTGTTTACTGCATACTCATCCGATTTGTCAGCAACTTGTGACACTGCAGGTGAGAAATATGGAGGCTATACATTTGCAAAAGTCGTCAATGCTGAAAATGCAGACATTGATGACATATGTGTTATTCAAGATGGAGACCATCTATTTTTCCTTCATAGTATGTAGTCAACAAAACCCAGAATGATCAGAAGACAGTGATGTAGAAGCTAGAAAGAGCTTTGTAAATTCCGCAATGTGTAATACAAATATTAAAGAGAACAGAGTACATCAATTGGTGAAATGAGCATCTGAATCTGGCCACTGATAGTGACTTTAAGAAGTCTACCATGACAGTAGCACTTTCACTCACTACTTCAAAGAGAGAAAAGATAGAGAAAGTTAATTTCACAATCCTGAGGCTGTATTAACAGAGTTGTAGAAAAAAATTGTTCTTCTGTATCTAATTGAGTGTACACGAAAGGAGATGATTCAGATCACATAAAAAGAATCACTACAATGAGTTGGCCTAGGAACCAGGCGAGTAACGAAGCATGTGAATGATTAGCCATATAAGTTAAATGGGCTAAGACTGCAAATGCATTTTCTTCAGTTCAGCGCCCTTAATTGAAAATAAGTATGAGCCTCTCTCAAATGCCTTTGATTGGAAGAGGATGAGCTTCTGTGTTAAAGACGAACTTATCTAATGGGATAACAGAACTATCCCCAAACAGCAAGTACAAGTACTTCAATGTTTCACCCAGAAAGAAGGTCTCCATCTTGTCCCTTCTACGAGGAGGAAGGCTGGTTACATCGTCAAGAGAACTGTATCCACCAGATTCAACCTTTGTGTACTTCTCAAAAGCTTCAAAAATATGCCAGCCCCACTCACGGTATCTGCAATAGATGGGAATTGGTCAGACATTATCTCAGTTTTAGGAAAGCAGACAGTGCAAGGTGGAAAATGATAATTCAAAGAAACAAGGTAACCTATCAAATGAAATTCCATGAACATACTTTGAGTCTTCTGTAACACGGTACAAGACAAACAACGATTCCACAGTTTCTGGGCGTAAAAGATTATGACGATCTAGAGGTTTTATTATTATGTCATTCATATACTTCGAACTCTTGTTCCCTCCATCAAGACCCTCTTCAGAATATTCCTGCTCAATCCAGAAACATTTATCAAATTAGTTTTTCAGAATGAAAACGTCATGTTATATAGAAATATAAAGAAGCACAACATGCATTTGTTTCTAAGACCACTAGAAAATACTGAACACATTCAACAAGTCTTACAAACCTCAGTATGGAAGTAAACAATTTCAGGAGCAAGACCAGTGGAAGTTGCTGCATACATCTCAAAGCAAGTCTTTGCTAGGTCCTCTGCAAGCTTCAAGTTCTCGAGGTCTTCAAAGTTTAGCAAATTTTCTTCCATCGCTTTCTTCTTGGTAAAGCCCTTAGTTGCTCCAAGAGCAAGTGTACCAGGCAGAAAGCACACCTGACAAAAATATAAAGAGTGTGCACCATTGCCCTATCATCAATCTAAACTTAGGATTCGTCTAAACACAGCCAAGAAAATAATACAGGTACTCCTTCAATCTAAAATGACCAGACAGAACCCCATCAAGAATCGGTGTAACATGTTCACCAGATCAATGCAATAACGATGGGAAAAAAGAAGATACTCTTCCAGGGAATGATTCTGCACTAAGTCCATAGTCTAGCAAGACACACACCATCGTCCAACAGCGGGCAGTAACATATGAGTAGCTTCATTAATCCAATTCATTTCAAAAACCTCCACAATTGTGCATTTTCCATCACTCCAACAGAAACTCTCTTACCTATAATCTGGTGTAAACTTTACCCAAATGGTTGAAGCCAATTAAAGAGGTGACAAGTCTTAACTACTAATAGGGACCGATCTTCATGACAAATCTGACCAAAAGCAGTGCAGCAGACTCGCATCAAACATGAAGAATGGAAAATGGAGAAGATAGTAAACGTCAACACGAAATGTAGGTCTCTACGTAGTATAGAAACATGCATAAATCAAGAACAGAGTAACATTGGTTTCTAAATTTAGGAGTTCCATGTGCAGACGAGATACTTCACAGCAGAAAACAACCTCGTATAAACAGCCAATTCCAGGCATTTATGGCTTTTGAAAGATAGTGGAGAAACAATGCACAAGAAATATGCAAGAAATGCAATGGCGTAGAACACATTAGATATAACATACCAGGTGATCCATTTTAGAACTAAAAGCGCCATCAGGTCCGTAAGGCAATTCACCTACAAACACCAAGCCATTTGGGATTGATTTCTTAACAAGTCGGTGCCTTACACCTTTCATTGCTTCCGTATACATATCATGAAGATATGTAAAGTTCTTATCTCGATTGCTCCCCTGCTGAAGCCATACCTTAATCAGGTACTCATAATAGCTGTCTCCACGAGATCCAAGTCTGATATTTTCTCCACTAAATCCACCAGAGTCTGGACTGCAATGGATTGAGAAGTTATATAATAAGATCAAGTGAACTGACTTTTCACGAAATCACAACATGCATAAAGTGATTTTACATTTAGATTAAAGGGAATGTGATGAGAGTTTGCTCGGCAGGCTAAATCTCCATGTCAAAGTATCACATGACATCCAGGAAAAGTTATATCTTAAGTGAAGTCGCCTTCTTGCTTATATTCCTATCCAAAACCTCCACAATTAAAAAATGACCCCTTTTTTCTTTTGCCAGGCCAACATTAGGGAGAATCCTAGGATTATTTCAGACTGATTTTAACAGAAATATTGGAAATACAGAGATCCAATTTCAAAAGGTGACAGAATCTGTAATAGGCAGCACAAAAACATAGAAGTGTCACTTAATATGGAATAAAATTTGGAAGCCAATAGCGATTGAGCATGGGAAGCATGAAGCAGTTGGTTCTCAGAGATCACTGAAACCATTTCTGGGTTAAAGATGCTCTTACTGTCAGGAAATCAAATTCTCCAGCCCGCTTCTTGGTTGAACATGATTTGACTAACATGCCCACATTTCACATTTATTTGGAACAGAAATAAGAAAAGTAGAAAAATCAATTAAAATATAGTTAACAAACTAGTGAGCTTTCGGGGGAAAAGGCAATTCCTCACAAGTGCATGATGAAGTTGTAACACTTAATATATTAAGATGGCTTTCTGAAATTTAAGATTTAACGCAAATGACCTCATACGGATGACAAAGAAGGAAACTCACACCTTATATAGATTGGAACGAGTCCCTCCACCTTTTGGAGACCTTTCATGTGTTCCAAAACCTTCATAGCTTCGATGCTGTATTTTGGATTACCAGAAAGAGTACTGATATAATTGAACTCGAGCTGCAAAGTAGAAACCTCCGAAGTACTGCTCAACCCATCAGGTGCTCTATGCGCCGAAGGATCATGGAGAATAACATCACTGAAGGGAATAGGAGTCGGACTGGAAGTGAAAGCCAATAGCAAACGATCAGCCAAGGCTTTAGCAATATCAAGGTAAACAGATGGTTTAGGCCCCTTATGCATTATGTTTGCCCCCTTCTCCCCTCCACTTAAATGATATGCACTTAAAAGACCACCCAATACACGAATGGTAGTCTCAAATAAATTAACTTGGCCTTTCTTCCTAATCAAATCAGAAAGGTGTGTCTCCACCCATGAGCCTGCCTCTAAAACAATGTCATCAGCACCCATTATCATAGCAGTGTCAAGGGCATCCACAACGGTAGCACCAAGGCCTCCTAATCCATCGGTCCCTTTCTGACTTAGAGGCATAAGTTCGTCATTTCCCATTGCATACTTTCTATAGCCAGACCAAGCATGGATAAAAGCCTCCTTTACTTTCTGCTGCCTTACTACCCATCCTGAATCCGTATTAAGCTTCGCTGGTTCATGAACAGCTTGATCATTGTGACTACCATGCTCACCGGGTGGCAATCGTGGAGGAAGCCTTGGTGGCTTCCTCCCGATCCTTCCAGACACAGTATTACCTCCTGTCATATTCTTACCTTCCCCATGAATACTCAATTTATCTGCAACTCTAACCGAAAGAGAGTGGGCAGTACTTGGATGAGTTAACATAAGATATCCTACCCCAAAGATCAACAACAATGCTAGAAACTTTCCTGTACTGCAGCTAACACAATCGCGTCTCATGTTATTGGTGAGCAAGGACTGCGTTATCACCTAAATCAACACAATAAAGCCAGTCATTTCACAATTAACCAAAACAATAGAAATCATAGAAACTGCACAAGAAAAACTGAAAAAACATAAACATCACTAGTGAATGCTCTCCCAAGAAGGGAAAACCACCCCAATCTCAATCAACTCATATGAAGCCAAAAGAATAAGAAAGAAAAATGTGAAGACGAGGTCTTCCAATCGTCCTAATACAACTGAAATCCTCAACAAACTAGATAACATGGCGAAGTAGAACCCAGAAGAATGAGTAATTTCCGGCACTATAGTTCTAGGTCTCCGGACGCGTAACAACTGAGTCATTGTCATTCGCATTCGCTTTGTCATTTCGTTTTTGCTTTCAGGACCTAAACTTTCGCTCCCCATTCACAAACAGCAACTTGAAAAATCCACGAGATAAACAAATGCTCGCAATTGAATTATCTCAGCCCATCCATTGGGAGTATCATCATCATAAACTATTAAATATCAAAATCGGGAGGGAAACCAGGCAACGCAGCTGTCAGGTAGAACTGAAATCAATCGGAATCTAGTTACGGTAAACAGCTAAATAACATCGATCAGCAGAGATTGAGATCCAGATGCAGGGGAGAACCTTAGAAACCGAACGCTGGCGGAATTTGGCGTTGTCGTATTGCAAATCTTTAACCGAATAGGGAAGGGATTTCGACATGCTCGGAAGTCCTAGGGTTTTCCGGTTTTTGCTTGTCCTGGAGAAGCTCCACTCTGCTATCCTCTGCTTGGCGAAGCTTCGGATGCAAAGGAAGAGCGAGGCAAGAGGAAGAAATGGCGCAGACGATTAGTCACCCAACAGAATGCCGAGCGGGGAACATGAGCTGGACCTCGGATTGGAGCAAGCGAGATCGGAGTCTCAGCGTCGAGGGAACTGTAAGAAATGGACTCTTCTTCCTCTCTTTGCAGTAGTTTCTCGGCACGTTCTGCAATCCGATCGATAATTGTATGCGGTAAAATTCGGGGAGTTGCTTGCCAGTGCCATCCTCGCTAAACTCCTTTCAATCTAATCGGCAATCGCCCACAGATGGGGCCTCCGGCTGTGCGCAATCCTACGTTAACGTTGTTACTTGTTAGTGTTGTGGTATTTGATTACGATTGAACATCTCCCAACAACTCGAGTTATTGGGATTAACTGGTTCATGACATGGTATCAGAGCCTTCTGTGACCGAGAGGTCTTATGTTCGATTCCCGGTGACCCTCATTTGTTAAGCACATGGTATTCTTGTCTTCAGACCCGTGCAAACTTCAAGCCCTTGTGAGTGACTTTCATTTGAGGGGGCGTGTTAGTGTTGTGGTATATGATCCACGATTGAACATCTCCCAACAACTCGAGTTATTGGGATCAACTGGTTCATGACAAACGTTACTGTTTAAACTTTAAAGTTTTTACTTTTTTTTTCTTGTTTTATAGTAACTAGTAGATTATGTGTCGCGCTAGGTTGCAGCCTCTTATAGTATTAGATGTATTGTTTGCTAACTCATATTTGATTTGTTAGCCATGATCTTATGTATAGTTTTATAATTTTTAGTTTTTCTGAACATAATAAATCGAGGTTCGATTGGAGCAACGTGTCAATCATGATTTTAACTAGGGGTGGCAGAACGGTTTCCGGTTAGCAGTTAACCGGACGGTTTCAACCGAATCGACCGGTTTTCGGCTAACTGAAAACCGTTTCTGTTTGCATCGGTCGGTTGGCGGTGGAGATGGGAAGAGGTTCGGCTAGCCGACTAACCGAGGTCAGAAACCGGCGGTTAACCGGCTAACCGACCCCTTCCCTTTCCCCAAAACGACCCAGCTTCAATCCTCCTCCTCTCTAACCCTAAGTCGACTCCCTCCTCCTCCAAAAGCATTCGACCTTCGCCGCGCCGCTCAACCCTTCCGCTCTTCCCCCTTCTCGCGCAGCGGCGCAAAAAACCTCGCCCCGCCTCCTCCACCTCGTCGCCCCGCCACCAGCAGCAGCGCCGCTCCGCTCAACCCTTCCGCCCTCCCCCCTTCTCGCGCAGCGGCACAAAAAACCTCGCCCCGCCGCCTCCACCTCGTCGCCCCGCCACCAGCAGCAGCCAGGCGACAACCCTCGTCTCCCCGGCGAGCCCTAATTCGGTGGAACACCGACCCCGCCTTCCTCTCTCTGTCAGACCCGAGCCAGCCCTCTTCCCCCGCCGGCGCTAGGTACGAATTCGCTCTAAAGAACAAGCCCCACTCGAGATTAATCCCGGCGAGCTCAATCAGCGGCTTGGAGGTTTATGGTCGGGAAACGGAAGCGGGTTGGAGCGTCGACAGGAGGTATTGTTGGGCGGTGGTCCACGAGGTTGGGATGAGAAATGGAGGAAGGAAGGAGAGAAGAAGAAGTGGTTTGGTGGTGGTGGGTGTGAAATGGTGGAGGAAGGAAGGAGAGAGGAGGAGATAAGGGATGAGTGGTGCATAATTTTTTTCTTCTAAATTTTTTTTTTGGGTAGAAAAGCTTGTTTTCCGGTTGGACGGCTAACCGAGCCTAAAACCGACCGGTCGGTTGGCCGGCTAACCGTGACCTCTATCACGGTCGGTGGTCAGCAGCTATAGGGGGTGGCTTGGTTTAACCGATAACCGGGTTTTCGGTTAAACCGAAACCGACCGACTGCCACCCCTAATTTTAACCATGTTTGAACTACGATTTTAGCATGAAATACTCTAATACTAACTTTCCCAGTACGGCCTCCAATATGGTTTCACAAGTTTTAGTATTTTCTAAACATAAAATGGGGCTCGGGTTGGAGTAACGTGTAAAGCCTGGTTGAACCATAGTTGAACTACGATTGTACCGTATTGGTTGTCCAATATAAAAATCCTAATGAAATCTAAATCGATACGTGATTTTAGCTATAAATGATTGATAGGCCGATAATCATACATGTTTTCACCCCTATTCTGAAGTCGTTTGTGATGAGGAATCTCGTATTTTAAGCCGATTTTACGCTAGGTTGTGTGTTTATGTCATATTTCAGGTCCTGGCGTTGGAATCGAGGCGAAGGAACGAGTTCTGGATCGAAAGGAGCGAAGATTGGACAAAGGATCCTGCTGGACCAAAATACCCGGTCAAAGGAAGAAATACCCGACCGGGTATATTCTGCCCTCGACCGGGTATTTCCTCCTTCGGGCACCCGTGAGAAGCAGAAGGGGGCCCGGGCGATGGCGATAAATCCCCGGTCGGGGATTTTGGTGGTAGACCGGGGATTTTCCCCTTTAATGGAACGGTGCGTTTCACAATACCCGGTCGATCCATAAAATACCCGACCGGGTATTTTGACCGGGTATCGCGACCAGGCAGCTGATAAAAGAGGAAGAAGGCCAATTTTCAAAGGGTTCCGAGTTTTTGAGAGAGAAACCGATACCTAGAGAGAGAAAGCGTCGAACCAGAGTTCTCAAGCGCCATAGATCGATCTTCAACACCATTGGAGCCCGTCTTGAGCTTGGAGAAGTGCGATTAAACGTCCAGAAGCAGGAATCCAACTTCACAGTATGATTTCCGTGTCTGAATCTGCTTTTGCTTCTTTCTCTATGGAGTAGTTTCCCCATTCATCTGGGTATGGAGAACCCTAGATTTGTATGCTAGGTCTGATTGTATGAACCCAAGTACAGTGTTTGTGAATTGATTATATTCGATTGAGGTTTGATTGATTGAACGACTTGAATCCTGATCAAATTCCTGCTGTTTCTGCTTTAACCTGGAATGAGAATATCTGCCTAGGTTGATAGAGTACCCTTAATCGAAGGTAGCGAATTGGTGACTTTAGTCGAGGAGCCAATTCGCTATTCTGTACCGAAGTCGATTCGGTAGTGGAGGTTTGGTTCATTAGGACCTCAATCTGTTTACTCCGGTGGAGGTTAGTCGCCCGCTAGAGACTCAGATTGAGAGGGTCTGGAGACCTTTAGTCGAGACTTCAGGCTAATTGAGAACCTTCCGCAGTATAACTTCCATGAAAACTGAACTTGGCAAATTGCAATCCGACTTAACTGCAGTCTAGGGGAAACCATATCCGGGTGACCTCTCTTGACTTGACAACAAACCGTTTACTTGCTCTATGTTTTGTTTGCTTGAGTTTCACTAAAAGTTCACTGCTAAATAACAAGAGTTCACCGAGTAGTCATCACATCTAGGACTCGGGTTGACATTAAAACCCGACCCGCTATACTACGCTTTAGGAATTGGTTATACTTGGCCAATTTCTAGGGTGACAGTAGGAGTGAGTCAAGTTTTTGGCGCCGTTGCCGGGGACGGCTAGGTTGTTGAAGAAAAGTGATTTCTGTTACTTTGGCATTTTCATTTTTGCATTGAGTTTTGTCTTTCCCACTTGTGCCTTCACGGGGTTTGCTTTGCTTGATTGTGTGCAGATAGTGCATGACCCGTAGCCAGTCGGGAGGTTTACTGCCGTTGAATCCTGAGATTGAGCGCACCTGCAAGCAACTTCGGAGACAACAGCGAGCTAGACTGGCTACGGTGGAGCGCCAAGACGGCCAATTGACCAGCGACTCCGAGGACGAGCACGAGATGGAAGGCGATCAGAACCCGCCTCCTCAGAACCAGATCCTGGGGAACGACCAACATCCCCAGGGAGCTGGCCACCATCATCATCCACCACCACCGGGTCCCACCTTGGAGTACTACTATACTCCACAGATTGCTGACATCCGCCCGGTCATCCTCTATCCACCCATCCCTGCAAACAACTTCGAGATCAAGCCATGCTGGATCCAACTCATCACATCCTCTATCCAGTTCCATGGCTTGAAGGATGAGGAAGCCCGGGTACATCTTTCCCGTTTTCTGCAGCTGACGAACGGGTTCAAGTTGAATGGTGTCCCGGATGACGCAATCCGCCTTCATCTCTTCCCCCATTCTCTGGCGGGGAATGCTAAGAGGTGGTTGGAGACCCAGCCCCCATTGTCCATCACCTCTTGGGACGATCTGGCTGACAAGTTCGTGCACCGGTATTATCCGGCATCGAAGACCACGGAGATCCAGCGGGAGATCACTCACTTCCGCCAAGAGCCAGATGAGTCACTTCGTGATGCATGGGAGCGGTACATGGGATACTTCTGGCAGTGTCCCCATCATGGCTTCAGCGATGCTTTCACAGTGGGGAACTTCTACAGTGCCATCACCCCAGACAGCCAGAGGGTGATCGAGTCTCTATGCCCAGGAGGGGATATCCTTACTAAGACTCCACCCGAGCTGAACCAGATGATCAGTACTTTGGCTGCCCGCGATCATTCCTGGGGGAAGAGCAGCAGAGGCAGGCACTCCCGGGACCGTGGTGTGCATGCTATGGAGGCCCGATCCGGGTTAGAGCAGCAGGTGGCTGAGTTGGTGCAGACACTGAAGCAGCCTAACAGTCTCCTTCCGGGCCGAGGTGTAGCTGCGCCTCCAGTGGCTCAGTGCCAGTGGTGTGAGAGTCCAAACCATCTGGTGGAGGACTGCCAGGCTATGCGGGAGTCCTCTACTCCCCAAGAACAGTTGGCCTTCATCGCCAATGCTCGGCGCCTCGATCCATACAGTAACACATACAATGAGGGATGGCGCCAGCATCCCAACTTCGCCTGGAGCAACAACGCCAATAAACCACCTGGTTTCCCAGCACCAGCAGGTGGTTTTCAGCAGAGGCAGCCTTTCCAGGCTAGACAGGGGCAGCCATTCCAGCAGCCCCAGCGTCAGTATGCCGAGCCCGCAGCAGCGCCAGCTCCCGATAATCAGATGACCGAGCTGAAGAATATTTTGGCGACATTCATGACCACCAGCCAGGCGAATTTCGCGAGGGTGGACCAGAGCATAGCCTCTTTGGAGGCAGGGCAGAGGAACCAGGGTGCTATTTTGCAAGATCTACAGCACCAAGTCGGTGCCCTAGCGCGCCAGCTTACTGCTCGGGCCCCGGGGACTTTACCTGCCACCACCATCCCCAATCCACGGGACCCGCATGAGACCGCACATGCCATTTTCACCCTGAGTGGCAGGCCTACATCAGCTGATCCTGCCCCGACCAGGCGGGAGGAACCACTACCTGCTTCAGCACTTCCAGCCGGTGATGCA